TTAGTGCTTAGACAACACCTGATATTTCTGAGAAGGAAAATAGGTGAGAAGAAGTGATAAGGCATCAAAGTCACAAGAGCAGTCCATGGAGCAAACGTGTTTTAAAGTGATGAAGAGGGGACCTCAGAAAGCATCACCCCCAGAAATGCAGCCTGCCCATCGTCAGCGCTACAGAAAGCGTTCCGACGACACCAGGGGCTTTGCACCCAGGGGTGAGGAGAGCACTGGATCCATGGAGACCTTCTCTCTTCCTTCACGAATCAAAGCAGAGCCTAAGGCACCAGCACGAGATGTTCTGTACCCACACAAGTCAACTCTGCCCATGTTTGGTTCTTTTAAGAAGCTATCCGTAATTATAAATTAAATTTTAGTTTTAAACCTCACTTAACATAGAATCATAGACTGGTTTGGGTTGGAAGGGATCTCAAAGATCACCCAGTTCCAACCCCCCTGCCATGGGCAGGGACACCCTCCACTACACCAGGTTGCCCAAAGCCTCAGCCAACCTGGCCTTGAAACATCTATGTAATTTAAAAAAAAAAATCATAAATGGTGGCCAGTGATCTCAAACTACAGATGTCCAGTCAACTTCAACCAAAAAAACCTTCCCAAATTTCCAAAGTTGCTTGCAAGACTAAAGGTCCCCGCTTTTCCCAAGTTAATATGATTTTTCAGAGCGACTGCGGCACAAAGGGAGACCGTGCAGCGCTGGAAGAAGACATCTGCCACCAAACCACCAACAAAAGAATTTCAGACACGAGTCCCAGCTGGATCTTCACCAAGTACTGATGTATAAAGCACACGCTGATGCCAACTTCCCACTTCCACACGCAAAATAAGAGGGTGGAAGGACTGGTCCTACTCAAGACATTCTGCAAACTTTAGTATGAAGCTGTATATCATCAAAAAAGTAGAGAGAGCATCTTTTAAAATTTGCTCCTGTCATACAAGTTGTGGCCTCCAAATGAGTACGACACCTCAGAAGGTGAGATGGTCCCTGGGATGGCACCTTCCAGCCGAGCAGCCGCTGAACACGGGCAGCCAGCACGTGTGTCCAGGCGTCCAAGATTTTCCTTTTTGCAGCTTTGTGGCTCAGAAGTTGAAAAAAAAAAACGAAGGAAAAACTGATGGTGCTTCCCACAAAGACATTTCATGATGCTGCAATCCGAATTAGTGCCCCAAACCTACCCATATTGCCAATTTTGAACTTCTTCCTTGCTAGCTTTTTCAGCCAAGGCACTTTTAATTTTAATTTTTTTTTTTTGAAATCTAGATTTCAATTTTAGAAGTGCCAGTGATTTCTAAACCGATACAATCGTGATAACCACCCACGAGCTGGCAGCCCGTTGGTACCCAGCTCCGGGGCAGCCCTTGCCCAGCTCCTCCGCAGCCACCGGGCCGGGCTGGGCACGGACCCTGGCACCGCTGCCATGCTAATAACTCTGTTAATTGGAAACCACCCCGCCAGCCCCCCAGACAAACCAGTTCTCCTGAAGGAGCACTGCCCTAACGAATCCGTGCAGCCCTCTCCCGACGCCGGCGCGCGCCGTTCGGACAGATGTCGAGCCCGGAGCTCTGAATGGTGTTTACTGGGCGACATCTGCCCGTATCTTTTCAAATTTGTGCAGCTTTGTTGAAGAACCCCAGTGTTTTTCCATGAATTACGTTCTCTTAAAAAAAAAAAGAACAGAATTTAAGCCATAATTTCGTGTTTCCTTGTAGACAGCTAATTACAAACTGTAGGAACCCAGATTCTCAGTTAACTTGGTACACAATTACCTACTGGGCACGTTTCTCAAGGTGCTTCAAAATTCCTATTAGCACAGACAAAAATCCCACTAAAAATGAACTCTGACATGTCAAATAACCTCCAGTTATGAATTCACATTCCAATTTTCCTTGTAACAGAAAAGCCCAAGTGTCAGAGATGAGTCTCTGTGTATTTTCTTAATTAGCATCTGAAAGGGATGAAGTTTGAAGATCATAAAAAAAACCTCACTTTTCTGGTGTTTTACACAATAGTCAGTGCATGATATGGTAGGTGGTTTTCCAATGAGTGATTAAATACAAATTAAAAGCTTCTTTGATCTCTCTACGGTGGGCTTGGGAGACACAAAAACGTACGTGACGGGGTTTACGGAAGGTGCCCAGGTTCAGTCTAACCTACTTCAAAGAAACCCAGCAGGAACTTTGTCCAGAGACTGACTCTTCTGGCCCCCTCATTGTGCTGAACAGTGGGTCACTGGTGTGTTTGCTGGGGATGGCAGATGGTTTCATTTGTTGTGGACCACCACTCCACCCCAAATTTTCAGCGGAAGTCTGGCCAGTAACGGGAGGGATGCAACGGGCAACGGCACCTGTCGCTCCTGCTTCAAAGTCCAGCTCCAGCAGTACAGAAGAGAAGGAGGAGAAAGCACCAAAGTAGTCCAGAAGCCCAATATATTATTAAAAAATTAACAAAAATTAAGAAAAAAACATAGTATATGACGTCTGCACCGGAGAGCGGCGACGGGGCGGTACGATACAGGATGAACCACAAGAAACACAATCCCTGCCCTTCCACTGCTGAATCTTTGAGCACTGATTAAAGGGCTATTTTTAATTTTGGAATATGGGTTAATTTAGCAATATTTCTCACTTCTAACTTTGCCAGTCAAAGGATAGTTGTTGTTTAAAAAATACTTCTCATTATGCACAAAAATAGATTTGTGACTATAGACAGAAGAGATTGAAAAGATGAAACGTCGACGTTGAAGCTTTAATTTAAAAGATTAAAAGTTGACGACCGTTTATCAGCAGCATTCCTAGGTTTTGTTTTCCATGGAAACCCTTGTAAGTGCACCACTGGAACTCTCTGGGATCAGAACCAACAGGGTCTGTACAACGCACGAGCCAGACGTCCGAGTCCGACGCTCCTTTTGGCTACAGGGCTACGCAAAGAGGAGTTCTACACCACCTTGTACTGCTTGACCCTGCCAGAAGAGATTTCCAAACAGATCCTTCTCCTTCTTTGGAGAAGGCATCACCAGGGGACCAGGAGAAGGCTGACCATTAGTCCTTCCCTTTCTGTGCACTAACCCGTCACGGCAGCACGCAGGAGGAGATGGACTGGACCCACCAGTAACCCTTATCTCTGCAGCTAAAGCAGTCCACCTCCCTTATCTCCCAGCTTTTTGGAATGACAGACCCTTGGGAATAAATTGCATTCCGATTCAATTCCCCTCTACCCTGATGCAGCAATTGGCAGTGCTGTATCACAGCGTTTCCTAAAATGATAAACCTTTCTGTTGGCTCAAGTAGAATCGAAAGAAAGTTGTATCTGGTACTGGAAATAAAACGTAGATGCTAGCTTGGATCCTAAAATTACACTAAAAATACAAAGAGATTACAAATCACAAACCTAAAAATTATTTTTTTTTTTTTCCGAAAAAAAACCAATTTACCATCATGATAAATAGCAAAAGGTTGACCACTGAAGCCAGTAGATTTTATGCCCAACTAGGAAAAAACACTGTTGTCCATATGTGAATTATTTAAGCAAAAACATTTTAGTTATAAATAGCAATAAATCCTACTGCTACTACACCTTAATATTTTTTAAGATAAGGTTAAGTTTAAATTGCCTCAAAACTTTTTTTTTTTTGGTATTCTACCAACACAAAACTAACTGTGTTCCGTTGTAGACTGAAATTTTGCCTTTAATCAGGATACTTTTTTTCAAGCTCAACTGTTTTTAATAACAGAATCACTTTCTCTGTAAATAAAATACTACCAGACCTCAGCAACATAGTGGCCAGCTTTCTGAAAAGCTCAAAACTCAGTCTAGCAAAAAAAAAAATCACACGAAATTTGGAACTTACTCCAGTAAATCAGCCCATCTTCAATCTCTTGCCCGTGAAAAGCACGCAGGACATGGAAAAGGCAGAAAGCTGGTCCCAGATATAACACAGGCTTGTTTACAACATTGCTATTGCTCAAAACTTCCCAGAAAAAGAACCAAAAGGTTCCTACCAGATGTGGAGCCAAGGAGATGGTGTATGTTCCAGAAGGAAACACTGATCTGATGTATAACCTGGGGAAATCTGCGTTTCAGGATACGCCAAGCCCACTCATTAATTTATTTTTTATTTTCTTCCTATTCATTGCTGCTTCTTGACAAGTCCTGCATCGTCCCCTACCTGCTAAAGACATTCCCAGCATCCTACCTCCCTCTTGGCTATTTCCAGTCAGCCTCTTACTCCCAACCTGTGTTAATTCTCCCTGCTCCACCACCCTGTCTCAGGCACCTTCAACCAGAGACTGACCCAAACCGAGATCCGTCACACTGATCATCTCCAGGTCAGCAGAAATAACTAGTTTTCTTCCAGACTTCCACAAAAATCTATATAAAGCTCCATCAAAAAAAAAAAAAAAAGACAGCTTTCACGCTGTATAATCAGCAGTGTGATGCTAAAATACACAGTGTAGTCATTCACATTCCAAGGATATTGATATTGAGCATCTATTTTCCTGATAAAATGAATAAATAAGCATGAAAAAAGAATCAGAAGATAACTGCTTATAACTAGATGCCTATTTTTGTATGGTCTGCCACTTCAGAATAGGGTAAGCACCCTTACATCAGGTCTTTCATCAAGGTAAATAATTTCAGGGATAACTCTAAAGGATCATATAAAGCCCTTATTCTTCAAGAATTACAAGGTAAATATGTGGGTTGCAGGCAGAGCTAAGAGCTCAAAACACAACTATTACCATAGATAACGATTCAGAAGTGACACCGTAATATCACAGCAGTTACAGTTAAGCAGGTATTTAGTTTTTGTCTACAACTCTTCTACTTTTGAGTAATTCCATTTCTACCAGCACACACTTCTTCACAGGCAGCCTTAGTATTTCATTTACTCATGGAAAATATGCTATTTGGCAGAAAGTGTTCCATCTCCTCTGCACAGTACCTCGTCTGTCTAAAAATAACACATTTATTATATGTTCACGCTCACCTGCTGCGATGTCATCGTCAACCAGATCATGCTCCTCTTCCTGAACTTTTGCTTCTGTTCCCAAGGAATCTGGGCTTGCACTGCCAGCCTGAATGGCTTCCGTGGTTACTCCAGCTGAAAGAAACAACCAAACACCCGCAGAAGTCAGTGATGTTGGTAGACAGCATCTTCACATCAGGAGAAAAAAAAAAAAAAAGTCATTATCTTTTGATATTCTGAAGCATGCAATGCAACGAAACATAAAAAAGAGCAACTATTTCCTGGTTTCCCTTCATTATGCAGACTTTTCACAAATCTGTCTGTTAAAAATCTTTTCCCCACTGTAAATCTTTCTCTTGTATTTTCTTTTTTTTCCCCTCCATCTTCTATATCCCTGTTCCTTGCAGGGGGGTTGGACTAGATGACCTTTGAAGGTCCCTTCCAGCCCTGACCATTCTATGATTCTATGATTCTAGCATCAATATCAGATACACATATTACACACTAACAACTTATTTAGCCATGAAATACAGCGTTCCAGCAAGTTCTGCAAGAGCCCTCTGACATCTCCTTCCAATACTTCATCTCTCACCAAAAAAAGTGCAGTTTTTCCCATCAGAGTAGTTTTGACCTTCAGAGTATATTAATTCAGCAGACTTATTCCAAGTCATTTGGGTTAGGATGCATCTGCTGGTTGCTATTAGAAGCTACGTAACGAACATCAAGCTGTACCACGTAGCACCGCATGATTCAAGTTATAATTCACCACATTATACTCAGCCCAGTTAAAAATCTTTAATTACTCCATAATTAATATGTCTCCATATAATCATAGAATGGTTAGGGCTGGAAGGGACCTTCAAAGGTCATCTAGTCCAACCCCCCTGCAAGGAACAGGGATATCTCCAACTAGATCAGGTTGCTCAGGGCCTCGTCCAACCTGGCCTTGAACGTCTCCAGGGATGGAGCATCCACCACCTCTCCGGGCAACCTGTTCCAGTGTTCTACAACTCTCATGGTAAAAAATTTTTTCCTAATATCCAACCTGAATCTACCTCCCTCTATTTTAAAACCATTACCCCTTGTCCTATCACAACTGGCCCTCCTGAACAGCCTCTCCCCATCTTTCCTGTAGGTAATCATCAACAGTTGCCCTAGCAGCTACTCCTGAGAGTAAAGGGCAACTACAGCTATGTTCTACCAACTGAGCATACCTGACCTCAGAAGATCAATTCAAAAATACACCCTAACACCCAAAATGGCACAGATATCTATCAATATGAATCAAGGCTCTTCGACACGTGTACACAACATACTTTCACTTGTTATTCCCTGCTTGGCTGCGCATCTAACCGTGCAACAACATCCCTGCAATAAGGTAAAGGCTACATGGCTACAGGCTGTAATTAACAACAGCTTAGTCTTACCAACAAATTCCCAACATCACTCTAAAGCACTGCCTTCCATGTAATTTATGCATTCAATTTAGATTTAATAAGATTATTACACATCACTCAAAAATCAATTGGTGTTTACTAGAGATCTTTCTCGGAATAGAAACTACGTTCCTCGGTGAAAAAAGAATCTCATTTTAAGAAAGATGAACACCTAAGACTTCAAAGGAAATGTTCTCATTCAGGAAAATTCAAATTTTTCCTATTTTTTTTATGTAAGGCAGATGGGTTTGGGCATTATTCTATAAAAGCAAGTTTCTAGATGGATAACTGGATGGAGTATCTCATGATGCTGACAGACCTTCCAAGAACATACTCTTAGAGTCTCTACAACCTCTGCTTTAATAACAACAGATAAACCAAAAATAGGTATTTGGGAGAAAAATACAACAGATTAAATAGTGATCTGTAGCCATTTAATTTATTTGGAGGATATTCTTCATCTGGTATCTCCTTGCAGCACTTGATAACCAATGGTTCCCTTTCCAACAATTTCTACAACCTAATGACACGTTCTTTGAAAAGGAACGTTCGGTGTCACACCACCAGCACCTTGGAATTTTATCAGCCCTTTTCCTAGCAGGTTTCCTCCCTGGAGACCCCAAACTACAGCCTCACCCCTCAGCAGCAAGGACAGCCTTTGCAAGAGACAATCCCAACGGCATGTAGTGAAGAATTTGATTTACCTACTCAACATTAGCCACCTGAAGTGATTTCATGATCGTGAAATGACTTGGAAAACGTCAAGAAACTCTTCTATATAACCCTAGATTTCTTTCCCCCCTAGAATTTCCCCTTGGATTGTAGTATTGTTCATAATTTTTGTGTACAAAATGCCTTTTTTTCCCCTTTTATCTAGCAACCAAGGTACTCTCAGGTTTGACACAGCATTACTTACGTGATATAACGCTGTCGATGTACTGCGGTAAGTACGGAGCCCACGCGTCAATGGTCTCCTTCCGACCTGCCTGCTCGATTCTTCTCAGTTCTGCCAGCAACAGGGCCTGGGCAGCTTCTCTCACCTGTAAAACCAACAGGAACGTCACACCAACTCCAATATCAAATATTCATCAGAATGCTTTTGGTACAGTTTAGCAAGAAGAAAAGAAAAAACTTCTACAGGAAACGAAACGAAGCTTTCAGAAGACCTTCATTTCCAAAGTTGGAAAGTTTTTAATCCAATACTTTTAAACCAAAACTTCATGAAAGTTTTTAATCCAATAATTTCTTTTAAAAAATATGTACACCATCCAGAAGGTAAAAAAAAAAAACAGATATATTCAGACATGATTGCTTCTTCAACATTTTAACAGGTTAACTGGAAAATGAACTCACTGAATCTGATGTAAAAACTGCAGGAACTTGTGTCAGAAGAGAATTACATTTTTTTTTTTTTCCAAATGAAGGGAAAATGTGATCAGTAAAAGACAACATAACCCCCCAAAAACCTGGCTACTCCAAAAATCACCTCCAAGCACCGATCCTGCCACCGGCGAGCCAGCATCTCCAGAAGAGGAGGTCGGAATTTATCCAGCCCCAAGAGGTCCGGGAGCATCACGCAGTGCATAGCAGCCAGCTGGCTCCACCCTGCTCAAACACAGCACAACAGGAAGATGAGCACAATAAACCCTGCAAAAATTGGAAAATTCAAACTGCTGGCAAGGAAATTTACACTGGTGACTGGTGTGGGTCTTTGGGAGAAGGTGGGAGAAAGAGGGAGAGGGGCAAGCAAATCAAAAATAGAATCGATTTTGCAGCAGAACGACAGAATTGGATCTCTGTCTCGGGTAGGAACGAGCTCTTCCAGGCAGCAGTCATGCCTTGGGAACTCCCTGGCCACATCTTTGCAACACATGCAAGGGTTGAAGGAGGCAGCAGCAGAAGATTGCCTCAAACCAGACCTGATTAAACACAAACACCCCTCTTCCTCTCCAGCTCCTCCCAGGAAGACTCCAGTATCCAGTGGCATGCTTGGATTTTACACTTGCAGCCTTCAGAATAGACTCAACGTACATACTCAATGCAAAAAAAGGCTTTAAAATATTATGGCTTTTTTTTTTTTTTTCCCCCCCAAATCATAAGCCGTGGTTCTCAGTTCAACATTCAGATGCCCCTTAACATAACTTATCAGATTTCACGTCCTACATGCAAGGGGGATATAATTCCATCACAGAAAACGTCTGAATTTCCACTACAAAGATGACATCACGTTTTCTGTCCCCTTTTAAAAGGTATCTAAGCACGTACAAGCACGTGTTTGTCCGTTATCCTTATCTTTCCACCTAAATCTTACTCCAGCATGCTTACTCAGGTGTGTCCCTACTACAAGCCTGCAATACCGTGTAGTTAAAAACCAGTAAAGATAAGCGTATCGAGCTCAAACAACCCAGCTTGTAAAAATGCTTGTAAAGAACTCTACTAAAAGAATTCTTTTACTGGTGTGCTCTACACGGACTCGAGAAACTGGAAAAATACTTAGGTGAGCATGGCTAGATATATTTTTAAATTGACAGCAATCCTGAGCCCAAAAAATCTAAATGTTTTGAACTAATAAAGCTCTTCACGGTGCTACAAAAAAAAGAAATCGTTATGTCAGTTTTCCTTCAAGAAAAATGGATTAAGAGGGATTTCTAATTTTAGAGAGCACTGTTTCTACTAGTTGAGATGCACGAAAGCAGGAATTTATAGCTTAGTAAAAAGGGCATAAAAATTCGGATTTAAAGCAACTTGCTGACAGGGATACAAGGGATTTTTGTTTGGGTTTTGTGCCATCTTTTTGGCAGAAAAATATTCTTCATTGAGTGAATAAATAGGTATTAGAAAAAAAAAAATAAAAATCCCCAGCACAAACCCCAAGTGGTTTAAACAAACACTAAGTTTTCATAAGCACCAAAAAAAAAAAATAATTTGGTAGAGTAGTTGAGAATTTACAGCCCAGTCACACCAGCTGGATCTGCTCACCCCTACCAGTATTAATGGCAAATAACATACAAAACCCCCTCTTCCTTGCAAAGAAAAATTCCTCCCAAATTAAAATCATGTCATAACAATGATAAGGGACTTTAGTAGAAAATAAAAAATAGAAAAGTGAGGAAAGAATACCTTCATTGACTAAGAAACAGGTATGTAAAGTAGGAGCAGTGTCAGAGCCAGAGTGCCCAGCTTCAGTGCTAGAAGAAACAGCAGGAGCAACTTGCAGAGGAAAGAAGAAGAAATAAAGAGAAAAAAAAAAAAATAAAAATAAGGAAAGTGAGGATAGCAGCTTCTGAAAAACAGATTAGTATCACTGAAGGATGACAAAACGAAACCGGAGGAAACTGTGATAACATTAAACTTAAAAAAAAAAAAAAATAAATATTTTTGGTTTTACAAGTGCAATGCCAGTGAGGGGAAGACATGCAGCTGCGGAGAAACACGGATACACTAAGAGAAATTTGCATTTTTGGAGGAGACCAGAGGACCTGTAAAGAAAGCAGTTACAAACGTGCCTTTGGGGAGCTAGGGCTAGGAATGTCCCAAACGGGACTTTTGCTGCTTCTTTCCTACATCTAGATACATTTGGAAGTCGTGCTGCTCCTTAAAAACTCCAGAAATAAGCCCTTTTAAACCTGGGCTGCCCCAGCTGCCACTCGAAACTGGCACAGGACGTGTTACTGGTGGTCAGTTTTATTCCAGGTTCATTTGCAAGGTGTCCCCATCCGAAGAACCTCAACCCCACCGCAAAGAAAGGACCGAAGCTGAAGCAGGAGCATAGGGTGAGCACCTGTAGGAGAGCACTGCTCAAGCACGTTACTCCAAGGAGTATCTGTCACGTTTATTTTGTAAACTGCATCATTTTTTGGTCCAAGTGTAATTTAAAAAGCAGTTCAAACCATCAGACTCCCACTGACGCTTCGTTGACTCCACGGATCTCCAGGAAAAGACGCGCAGACCTTATGGCCCACGCGGGCCACAACCCGAGGTCGAGGTGGAGGTTTAGGGGGTCACTATGTGACACTTCCTTCCTATAGAGAAATCACCATATGTCCATGCACCAGCATCTCCAAATTAATCCCCCTCTTTTATTCCGTTGGCGGAACAACAATGGGTTGAAGCTCCCGACCCGATTAAGCGGTGTCTTCCGAATGGGCCGTTTGCTTTTCACGCAGTGAACTTCTTTTGTCACTTTTGTGGGACAGCTGCAGCAAAACCACTTCTTCCATACTTTCCAGGCAGTTGGCACGTGTACAGTGACAGGACAACTGGCATAAATCACTCCGTGACACGAGATGCAGCTAAAAAGCTATTTATTTAACGAAAAAGGTTGTTTGTAAAAAAAAAAAACAAACAGAACCACCCCGCACTGAAACTAAAATCTTACTGTGAAGGTTCTTTTTTTGCCTCGTTTTGTTGTAGTTGCTCGCTCCATTCCAACATCAGTGACCACAACGACCACTAACAGAAGGAGCTGGGCCAGTAGCTGAGTAGCACGGAGCTGTGGTCGTCTCAGGACGAATTGATGGAGCTCAAGCACGTCATAAAATTCATTAATTGTATCTCTAATTAAGAGTAAGAGCACCAGAAATCTTTGAGTACCAAGACACTGCAAGAAGTGCACCACGGGGTGTAAAGGTAAGACCCTGAGGAAACTTCTCACCTAAGAGGACCAGTCAAACCAACCCATCTGCTCCCAGCAGCATGCAAGACATGCCACCAGACAGGGCAAAAGACCTCAATTTTAGGAACAGGAGTGGTTTTTCTGTATTTTTGACCGCACACAGAATTTAATTTTTAGCAATTGTTACTCGTGAAGTAAGTAACTTCCACCAGAAGTATGTCTATCACCAAAATTGGCAAAGCTATTTAAAAGAAAAATGACATAGCTGCCAACTGGGAAAGAAAAAAAAAAACACATCAGAACTATATCTTTTAAAAAAAAAAACCAGACACAGACCCTCTCTGTGACAACTGGTTTTTCCTCGCACTGAATTTGCTGTATAAACACCATCTCTGAGAAACCCTGACCTTTCCAATAATCATCTTCCAAAGAGGAAAATTAAACACCTGTAAAAAATACAAACCAAAAAACCAGAACAAGCCCCACACGTTGAGACAAGAGCCTTGAATTTTATTTTTTTTTTTTTTTGATTTCTGCTTGTTGTTCTTGACTGCTACTTCTCTAGTTATGCAGCACCCTTCAGCACGAAAAAAAGCTTGACATGTACCACTCCTGAAACTGATTTTCCTTTTCCAACCAAAGATCACAGGGAATTAATATTTATATTTAGGAGAAGGATAAATAAATGTTGCTGATGGGCAAGTTTCCTCCTCGGATATAAACATCTCCTTTTTTTTTTTGTGAGTAAAGGAAATCACACGGTTGATGTGCAAGTTCCTTGTTGTGTTTATAAGCTCTCCACCACGAGGAGTTACACAGTTTAAAGATTAAATTCAAAGATGCACGGATGTCTTTAAGGTACCATCTTCAAAGCTCCTACATTGCAGTAAACACCACAGTGGTATTTCTATTTTGCAAAATGCAATCGTTTTACAAATGGCAAGTTCCTCTGTATTCATACAGGTTGGAAAGACAGAGTAGTAATAATTAAAAGAGAATTGCAAATTTCAAAGGAAATGTCAAATAAGTCCTGAAGGGTATTTGGCATTAAGAGGAGCAGCTCATTTGCTCCATCAAACAGCAGCTCAACTTCAGGGAGTGAGTAGGAAGGTGCTTCCTCCTC